AAAACTTGTTTGTTTTTAAAGCTACCATCTAATATCTGAAGCTTTGGGTTCTTATAAGGAATTTAACCTCTTTTTAGTTTATTATGATTTTTAGTAATAATTATGCTTATTTATAGCTGTTCAGTTGATATAGGAAGGGAAATTTATTAGTAGGTAAGGCACACAGAAGTGAACAAAACTAAATATGATGGAAGACAATTGCAATGTGTTTACTGAAAGAATCTTTGATTTTAGATAGAAGATGTTGGACAAATTCATAGGCATATGCATGGAATTTTGATTTGTGAGACTATTTTCTTGATTGGACAAATCATATTTTAAGTTGTTTTGACCACTGATTTCCAATGTATTCGAATTCTGGGGTGGGGTGAAATGGATGCTTTTCAAATGATTTAGAATTATCATGTGTGCTTTGCTTAGATTTCTTTTTTCATAAACCCAGGAAGTGACAACTTTTCTTTAAAACAGATAATTATGCCATATTTTTAAATTCAAGGTGAAGTCTTTACCTAAATCTATCTATATATATATAAAACCCTAAGTGACTGTTTGACTGGTAGCTATGATGCACACTGACCACCAGGGGGCAGACACTCAATGCATAGGCATGGAAACATGGAACAGACTGATGAATCTCAGAGGGAAGCGGGGAAGGGGGAAGGGGGGAGGAGATTAACCAAAGATCTTATATGCATACTAGAGGCCCTGGTCTGCAGGAATGGGGCTGGAACTGGCACTCCAACATTCCCTGAAGGGTCCCAGATTGTGAGAGGGCACAGGTCAGGCTGAGGGACCCCACTGGTGCACGAATCTGTGCACCAGGCCTCTGGTGCTTTAAAATGTTTTCTCTAAGTAGGCTGTAATTCTCCTTTCTATTGTTGGCATCAGGTAGAGTCTGGCTGGGAAATATGATGTGCAAACCATGGACTTTTCCCCTGAAGGCAGCCACTGGGATTGGTCCACAGGGCCAAGTTAGGTCTCTAGCTGATCTCACTGTGGCCTGGCGGCTGGCTGTATCCTGGGAATCTTACATTTGGTTTTGATTGAACACAGCAGGCTTTGATGCTGGAGGCATGTAAGGCCTAACTGGACATGGAGCCTGTGGGGGCTGGCAGGGAAGCTCTCCTCTCTCCCAGCTCCATTGTCCTGCCAGCCAGCTCCAGAAAGCCTGGGTAACTCTTCAGTTTCTAATTTTCTCAGGGTTTCGGGGCTAAAAAGATGCCTAGAAAGCATATGTGTTTCTCTGCTCAGAAAATCCCAGGATCTCACAATCCATATGTAGAAGAGGTTGATAGAAGATTATCCTCTGGAATCTTCCAAAAGGGTCTGAGAAGCATCTTTGGAGCGCAGAGAACTGAAGGATAGAAGCACAAGAGATATTTTCTGCACTCATTTATTTTAGCTGAAAAGAAAGACTGACACAGGACAGCCCTGGCTGACCAAGTAGATGGTGTCACTGAATATCTAATTTCTGATCTGCAGCTTGGAACTACTGGAGGCTAGGTAGCTGACTCAGGGTGAGTACCTTCAGATACCTCAAGAAAATGAGGTCACCCAGTTGGTTGCTAACAGATCTTTCTTCTGTAAGTGGAGTGGGAAGAAGAAAACTGCTTGGTCATTTGGTCACTCATTTTTATACACTAGTCCCTGGATGCATAGGGATAGAGGGAAGGTGGCCATGACTTTGACTCTGACCCTTGCACTGGTCTATATATATAAAAGCCTAAGTGATGAGCCCTCCGGCAGACCGGCCAGTAGCAATGACATGCAATGACCAGCAGGGGGCAGATGCTCAATGCAGGAGCTGCTGCACTGCAGTGACTTGGCAGCTGCAGTTCTTGGGTGATACACCCGGAACCAGAGAGGAGGGAGCCCGACTCTGGGGTGTGTCACCTGAGAACTGCCCTCGCAATCTGGGACCCTTTGGGGGATATCAGAGCGCTAGTTGTGGCCCAATCCCCGCAGGCCAGGCCGAGGGACCCCACCGGTGCACGAAACCATGCACCTGGCCTCTAGTGTGATAATAAATTGATAAATTGATACTACCTTACAGTTATTGAGCTAGGTTCTTTAGCACTCAGATATATTAATCCATCTAATCTTTACAACCACCTAATGAAGTGGGCACCAAGGTGATCCCTTTTTCACAAATGAGAAAACAGAGGCAGAGAAAAGATCAGCACCTTAACTAGGATCACAGGTTTGCTAAGAGCAGAGCCAGGTTTTATCCAAGCATCTGACCCAGGAGTCTGCTTCTATGTGATGTAGGGCTCAATGGTCACATGGGAGGGGCTGGGAGAGCAGGAAAAGGAAAGTAATTCTCAGATGAAGGAATGGTCAGAGTCTGCGGTCATTGCCTGGGGAATGGGTGATAAATAAAGAAAACACGTGTTTTTACCAGTGTAGGGTTGCTGAGGCCTCATCTTTTAGAATTAGCACTTCCCGTGTTGGTCAGCAGAACCCTGGTTGGCGGCCCAGGAGGGTTGGGAGTGTGAGGGAGAAGCATCGTCCTGGTGGGGATGGCTGGATGTGGTCGGACATCCTGTGGCCTTGACAACTCAGTTCAGGTGGCTTCAAAGATCATCACTGAGTAATCCCATGATCTAAGCAAGGGCTCAGAAACTGTTGGAGTCTGAAATTGAAATCCAGTTCTTTTAATAGGAAGAACACGGGTGGAACTGAAGATGTCTGTGTGGTTCAGAGGATATGTTACTGAGTTCAGACTGAAAGGACCAAGGAGGACAAGAAAAACGTCTTCTCAGGACACACATGATAGAGAGTGATGAGGACCAGTAGTAAATAGTGTTAGGGAATGAGATCCCGGGATAAACTGAGGCTATCGAAGGGAGCAGAGGAGAACAAAGGGCTCATGTTGGTTGGGAGCACAGAGAACAAAGGCTGCATAGGCCCACTGGCTGCCAGGGCAGCTTGTCATGGAAGAAGAAAGAGGAAGGCGCAGCTTCACTTTGCCAGGGACAGAGACCCGTCTCCCAGTTTGAAAGGGCATTGGTGGGTCCAGGTGGGAAAGGAGGAGTGAGGCAGTGCATGTGGTCTGTGCATGTGGTCACCTGCCCCAGAACTCCCTGGCCCGGGCATGGAGTGACCCTAGAGATGACATCACGTTTCTGCAGAGGTCATCTGAGAGGCCTTGGGGTACAAGACAGAGGTGCATGGAGCCTGGAGCTGGATGAGACTCAGTGTCTGATGCTGACTTGGAAAAGCGCCTGGGAGTCTGTCAACAAGAAGAGATGAGCAGTAGAGGTTAGCAGGGGCTCACTGGACAAGCCATGTCAGACTCGCATCACTTTCCATCTGAGAAGCTCAGATCTGGTGACTGTGGCACACAGAGTGGCCTGGGCTTAGATAGGGCCGCAGCAGAATTTGGCAGGACATTCTCTGCACTTGCCTGAGTGATATTACCCAGCAGCGCAGACACATGGGAGAGTGGTGACCCTCAGGGGGGCTGAGTCATGCCAGAGTCCCCGTCAGCATCTTCATTTGCTTTTTTGCTTCCTCCTCCTTTTCCTGCTCCTCCTCATTATTATTATTTTTATGTTATATCATTTCCTTTTCTTCTTCATTCTTCTCCTCATTATTAAGATTTGTCTTGTAGCACTGATGGAAAGTGAAATTGGTTGGATATCTAACACAGCAGTGAGCAGAGTCCGGATCCACAGTGTCTCACAAAGCTGGAGGTGCAGCGCTGAGCTTAGCAGCCTGGTATTGGGCAGATTGAAGATGAACGCAGTTGAGTTGAGACAATGCAACTTTCCTCAGATGGTTGCTGTGAAAAGTCCATGAAGTAAGGTGATTGAGCCTCTGGCACGGAGACACTTATGTAGCCAATAAACAATGACGTCCATTTTTATATCATGAAGGATCCTGGTAGCAAAATATTCCATCCTGCAGTCAGGCCACATATCCAAAAGTTCAGTGCTGAGGAAAGGGTTGTCACGTCTGTGGCTCAGGGCACTCTAGACAAGTCTGGCAACAGGGTCCACACATCTGTGGTTGGCAGAGGCCACCTGAGCGGCGAAGGAGCCCAGTGGGGGTGTCTGCAGAGGAATGCGAGGTGCAGCAGGACCACAGGGAGGCATCGATAATACTGTCCACAACAAAATAAAATTAAGTTAAATAAAAAAAGAAGGGCTCAGATTCCCTGGAAGCACAGTTTGGGGCATGTGAGGCTGACATGGGTAGTGCAGCCCAAGCGGGCTTTGGGGACACACTCTTGGGTTTCAACCCCAGCTGCAATTTCTACTTTCAGGGAACTTCGGGCAGGGTGTGTAGCTTTCCAAAACTCGAGTCCACTTGTCTGTGAAAAATGGTGAGAATGGAAGGAGGTGACACGTGCAAAGCACCTATCGTGGACTCCTGCCCCCAAGATGGAGGGAGGAGAGAGTGCCTGCGCTTCCTTTGCATGTGGGCAGGAGGCAGGGCAGGAGGAAGCAGTTGACATGAGCCCACGTGGTGTTTATGCGTAACAAGCCCGCGCAGGTGCCTGTGAGGAAGCTAGGCGCCTGCGGTCAGGTCCTCCTGGGCCTGCGGAAATCGTTTCCAATATGAAAACTTGGAGTGTGGCCCAGCAGCACTGCTTGCTGGCTGAGTGGGTGTTGGAGATGGGTTTCCCCATTTCTAGAACTTGCTGGTGGAGCTGATGAGGGAAAGGCAGGGAAGAGTGTCTCCCCAGTTCGGCTGAGGGCACCCTCTCCTCTTCAATGCCACCCTCACATATGCCGCCGTATACGTCCCCTCAAAGCCTCAAGAGCCTGTGGAAGCTGGTTCATCTGAGCATGCCCAGCGAGTGGGCACAAGAGGACAGCTGCCAGTTGCCAGATGAGCAGAAGAAAAGTAGGTGGATTAAGGTGAGGAGAACCCAGTGTTGGCACTTTCAGCGAGTGGAGACAGACGGGAGGACTCCCACTAGTTCCGGGGAGGGACCAAGCACAGAGGTGGCTGACCCCCCAGGTGTAGTAGTGGAAGCCAGGTACAGCCCCACACTCACCCTGCCATGCCTGGGTATTTATTGCTTCAGCTTTTATCTCTCTGGATGCCTGTACCCGCAGGAGCTCCTGTCCCTAGGTGCTTAAAGTTCTTGGCATTTCTGAGGATTTGGGGGGGATTGGCATGCTGTGTAGCAAGAAATGCAAACTGCCCTAAATCAGCATGCAAACATGTTAGAGCTGCCCACAAAGTCAGAACTGGCTGGTGGATGCCTTGTGTGCTCCGTTAATGCAGTCGCTGCTGCCTGGATGCTGACAGGTGTGGAAACAGTACTGAGTCACGCCTCTGAGTGGCAGCATTGTGCAGTATTGTCCTTCCCTGATGGAGAACTGGAGGTGAAAGCAGGTGGCATAAAGCTCTGAGACTGGGTGAGTGTGGCATCTATAGTAGTCAGGATTCTTTGGATGCAAACAACTGCCTGTTGCTTCCTCTCTCTGCAGAGGCCTGTGGTCCAAGTGTGGCTGGCCCACCCATGGGGAGCTCTCCAATCTCATAGCTCTTCCCTGAAGACGACACCTGTGGGAGTGTCCACCTTGCTGAGCTGTCCCAGGTCCCATTAGTCCACATGGCTGCTGGAAAGGGGGTCCTGCAAACCCGGGGCTGCAAGCCAGTGCTGCTGGAGCAAACAGAGCACCTGGGCTCCAAGGCTGCCCTCAGTGGTGGTGGCCAGGAGGAGGCCGGCGCAGAGCTGGCACGATCAACACCCCCAGGCGAGCTGAGACTGGGAAAAGCACTGGCCCGGACGGTGCGCTGGGAACAAGAGCAGAGCGCCTTCATGGAGATGCCTCATCTCAAGAAAAGGCTACAGGGCATGTGGGCCAAGGAGAGGGAGCATGATGGCTCCACAGGCCAGCCTGGCCCTCGGCAGCTGACGCAGGGCATCCCTAGGGACCCAGCTGGCAGCGCAGTCTTCTCCGCGTGGCCTAGCAGTGCCGGAAGGGAGCAAAGAAGTGCCTTCAGCAAACCAGCCAGGTGCCCATCAGGGAGACCTGGGCCGGCCTCTCTCTTCCAGGCAGGCAGACCTGCAGATGCCCTGGGGGAGCTGGTGGGACCCATGCAAATAATAGACATCCCTTGCTGGCCTAGACGTTCCAATTCCAAGGTTTCGGTGAGTGATTTCTGGAACCTGCAGATGCTGCCACAAAATGCTGCTCTCGGCAATGCTTCCGCAGGTGCCCCCACGCTGTGGCTAAAGCATGCCATGGCCCAGATACCCACAGCCTCCGCTTCCTCCTCGGTCTCCTGGGCCCTCCTACCATCCGCGTTCATGTCTCTGGGCTTGGCCACCCAGAACTGGTGCGCAAAGTGCAACCTCTCCTTTCGCCTGACCTCTGACCTGGTTTTTCATATGCGGTCCCACCACAGAAAGGAACATGCGGGGCCTGACCTGCATTCTAAGAAGCTGAGAGAAGAAGCACTCATGTGCCCCATCTGCCGTGAGTACTTCCGGGAGCGCCACCATCTCTCCCGGCACATGACTTCTCACCGCTGACAGGTGGCCGTGGGCTGGGCGTGGCAAGGAGCGCGACTCCCCCGGGGCGCCACGCAGAAAGCTGTCCGCAGCGTCTGCAGGGCGTCTGCTTCGGGATGCGCCCACGAACGGCTCCGTCATAACTGAAAGAGGGAGTCCTTGGCTGGGATATGTTTTGAAGTAAATAAACTCATGAAATAAAGTGATGCGCTTTGCTAACCCAGGGTGTTGGGACTACTGGGCGCAAAGTGCTTCCACCATCTTCCAGAGGGGGCCGCCCTGGCACCACGCCCGGGCTCCATGGAGCCGCGTTTGGCTTGCAGCACGGGCTTTGGAGACAGACAAGCCTGGATTTGAGTCTCGGCCCTTTTACATACCAGACCTGCCCTTGAACAAACTGCCCTATCTGCCTGAGCCCCAGTTTTCTTATCTGTGAAATGGAGATATGACACGTGTGTTTTGGGGTGTTGTCAGGGTTACATGGAAAGACGTGAGGAAACAGGCCAGCACAGCCTGGAACAGTGTGATCACTGTGTGAAGGATGCTTATTATCATTGTCCGGATTAGTCAGCTGTTGCTACGTAACAAAATCGAAGTGGCCAACAACCCATAGTATCGATTTCCCACCCGCGGGTCTGTGGGTTGGTGGGGTTGGGCTGGTCTTTTCCGGGCTCTGTCTCTGGAACGGATGGGCTACCCAGATCATGCTTCTCTCGTGGTCACACCACAGCACAAGAGGGCATGTCCACTTCCTGGGTCACTTCTGAGAACATCTCTTTGGCCAAAGCAAGTCAGTGGCCAAGTTCAAGGTTAAGGAGTGAAATGTGCATGCTGCCATGGTGGAGCCAGGCGGAGCGAGTGGGTGTGTCACCTACCACAGGAGCACAGGAGCGTGAAGACTGGGGTCAGTAGTTCACCCATGGTTCTCCACGTTCTGCATCTGTGGCTCTCAGGAAGGGAGCGTGTGCCAAAGCTCAAGGTTTAACATGTTGTGAGCAGCGGGAGGGTTCTGGGTCCCATTATCTCTTCTGCATTTCCATGTTCGTCCTTGCAAACCCCAGGCCACCAGGCCATAAACCCCGATGGCATGCAGGCTGGTTTCCGCTTCACTTTCCGGATTTCTTCATTTGAGCTGCAGCTTGCAGCCCTCTGGTGGGGCCTCCATCACAGAGCTCAGGCTTGTGGTTGGAAGGATCTAGTGGGGGTACCATGGGGAGCACGCCTAAATCAGACCTGTGGGAAAGGGGGTGTGGCATCCCTGGAGGCCTTCTGAGGAGTGGGGGGGCGGGGGAGGAGCATGAACTGAGCCTGAAAGTCAGCAGTGCTGGTGATTTAGACAGGGAGGGCAGTGGCTGGAAGGAGGGTGGTCAGAGCGCAGAGGCGCCAGGGAGCCATAAGGCAGGCAGGAGGACTGTGTGGGGGAGGCAGCCCTCAGAGAAGATGGAGATGCACGAGGGCCTTGAAAGAGAAGAGTCTGGACCAGACATGGAGGTTCGGCTCTGAGAAGCATTTGGAGGGGGCCTCTGGCCTCAGTGGGAAGGGAAGGATGGGCTGGAGGAGAGGAGAGGCCCCCCTGAGGCCTTTCCTTTGCATCTGAAAGGAGCCCTGTGCTCCCTACAGGCACCAACAGAAACCTCCTTTCTCACGGGGAGGCTTGGAGAAAAGGCCTGCAGGCCAGCCCCTTGGACAGCCAGCCGTGTGGGGGCAGAATTTGCCCAGAGAGACTGACGCTGCAAGGAGTCCCCCTCTGCTGTCCCAGGTGGGCAGAAGGGGCCCCTTGCAGGTTTGGACCTGAGGCTCCACACTGTCATTCCAGGCATCATTTCATCCACATGAGGTACCCAGGAGGGAGATATTTAATTCCCATTTTACTGCAGAAGAAACTAAACTGCAGGAGGTTAACTGACTTTCCTAAGACCATGGGTGCAAGGACAAGACCCCAGGACCTCCTCACGCTGAGCTCACATCCTTCCTCGCCTGCCACACATCTGCTCCGAGAGCTCATATGTCCTTGAGGATGCTTTACAAACTAGGACCAGACATTGACTTCAGCTTGCCCCCTGCCTGCCCCCACTCACCTTCCTGTTGCCTTTCTCTTTAGCGCTTATCACCAGCTTGCATGCGATCTGTCTTGTTGACTGTGTCCTATCCATAGAGTGTGAGCTCCATGAGTGCTTTGGGCACTGCTGTTTCCTCAGAGCAGAGCGAGGCAGGCACATGGCAGGCGTGAGGCAGGCTGCTTCCGCCTCACTGCTCACAAGGCCACATCAGCTTCTCACCGCATTTGGACCTCTGTCAAATGGCGTGCGCAGCCATCCTCCTCTGGCTACTGGATTGGTCCATCATTTCTGTGAAATCACTTTGAAAGGCATACATTCATTATAGGAAGATAAAATAGACATTTGGAATCGAGAGTGTAGAATTCTCATCCATTCCCTCGCTTCACAGCAGTAAGCACTGTCGCCTGTGCATAAGCTGGCTGCAAAGTATTGCAGGGCAAGTGGTGGTGAGGGGTTCCCAAGGCCAGGGTTCCCGCGGCAGCAGGGAGGCCCAGTCTGGCATCTTCCTGGCTGGCTGGACTCAAGGAGCCACAGCTGTGGCCTCCAAGGGAATTATTACTAACAGTGGCCGCACCACTCACAAGCAAGGGAGGCATTTTGAAAAAAAGTAAATTAAAGCGAATTAGCTTAATTAAACTTAGGAAGAAGCACAATAAAACACCTTTTTCCAACTCAGTTTTTAAGATGGAATTCGGTTTGATAAAAATTGACTTTGAAGATGGACTTCATTTTGGTAAAAATTGATGTTAATGCAAGTTGCTTTGCCGACACTTAAACTGACAAACTGGAAGAAGACTTACAGAGGTGATGACTTACAGCTCATGAAAGTGGCAGTTACTGCTCGTCACCAGCTGGGCTCCCAAAGTCCTCTTGACAGTTGAATCTTGTCTCGTCCATTCTTCTCTCCTGCTTTCCTTCATCTACTGGAGCGGAGTCACTTTTCATCGTGACTTTGCCCAAGCGTCTCTGCCACCTTCTGGACCATTAAGTGTTGGCTGGTGATGTTGCCACAAAACATCACATCAGCAGGTATGACTTTTCTCCACAAGCCTTGGGTGAAAATGGCTAAATTCCTTAAATTCTCTAAGTCAAATTTAATCTCTGCACCCCAACCTGCTGGCTGTGGTGGGATATGCAATCTGTCTTTTGGAACTTCCTCTCCGGCCTCTCAAGTTCAGACAAAGTTCCCCACACCCGCACCTAAGCAGGCAGCTCTTTCAACGTCATGCCGTCTCCCCACACTGCCTGGTGGCTTTGCCACTATTTCCCAGTGTGCTCTGTCTTTTCTCCTCCTCCCTTGGCCGCCCCCCCCCCCCCCCCCCCCCCCCCCCCCCCCCCCCCCCCGGGTCCTGGGTCTTGGTGGTTTTCTGGCAATGCTGTCATTAGGTAACACAGAAGCCACCAAGTCAATGAACAGAAAAGCTTGGCCAACTTCTTAGGCAAGGAGAAGGAAAATAGCTACAGTGGCTAGAAAAATGGCTAGTTATATTCTAGTAAACTACCTTCCAGCAGCCATTCAGTTACAATTTATCAAAGTCCAAAAAATGTGCCAATGAGGCTAAAATAAGACATTTTGAATTCAGATACATTTTATTTCTCAATTTTAACCAAGATCTGCTTTTCTTCCTGTTTTTATCTAGAAGAGAAGTAAAACCTTGATAAGTCTGGGATCCTGGATTTCAACTTTTGGCCAGTTTCTGGCTGTGGATTCTCTTCAAATGACTGTATATTGGGTTACTGAAAGTGAGTGAGTCCTGCCCGAGTTGGGGCAAGAGGGGGGAAAGTGAGGAAAGGCAGTCCCGACAGCCTGCAGCTCAGATGTCCTGGGTAAAGGCTCAGCACCAGGCCAAGTCCACGCCAGAATCAGCACTGCTTGTGAAGTTAGAGGTCAGCCAATGCAGGTGGCCTCTAAACTGATGGCTGAAATGGGGTGCAGGGACTCGAGTGTGGTGGTGGTGGTGGTGGTGGTGGTGGTGGTGATGGTGATGGTGGTGGTGATGGTGGCGGCGGTGGCGGTGATGGGGAGAGGCAGGAACCACCTGGAGGCCCCTCACTCTGCTATGGTCCCAGTCTCCGCACAGGCCCGGTGCTGGGCCTGGTGCTGCCAGCCTCCTCCATACTGCCTGACTCCTCTGGGCACAGGAGGAGAATGCTCAGGGTGAAAGGCAGCAGGAGTTGTCCCGAGGAGAACCAGGCAGCCTTCCTCATTTTGTAAGGTGTTTGCACCCCCTGGAGTCAGCAGGCCTTCCCTGCAGGCCACTTCTTTTCAGAGAAATGGCTAACACCCTGCTATTTGCATGTGTTTGTTTTTTGTACTAGAAGTCTTGTGAGGTAAACGTCATATAGCAAGATATAAACCCCATAGAAAATAAACCTTTTATTTAAAAAGTAAATCATTTTCTGATGTGTTTTGATTTGTGCCATTTCTTAGGAGAAAGTAATTTTTTTAAACCATTTTTGAATGGGGACTGAGGTGTCAGTGCATGCTGAGGAAAGGGTTGGGGTTCTTTAAATTCAACTTTTTCTTCCCCGACCATCTGTGCTTTCCCAGGGCAGAAGACAGGACACCAGTGGCCTCTGCTGCCCTTGCTATTCTAAAGGGCCTGGACTAGGTGGCTATTTTTAGCACTGGCTGCCCTGGTGAACATGGCAGTGAATAGGCCCGTAGGCCAAGTGGCACTAATCCTATGGGGACCAGTAGGTGGAGAAGGTGGAGATGGGCCCCATCCAGTGGGGGCCTCAGAGGAAGTTTTCCTTGTCCAGCGGTCTACCATGGATTGTATAACTTTCCTTTTTGAGCTGTGTCCTCTCCTTGCATGAAAGCTGTGTGGGTAACCAGGGCCCCCAAGTGTGGCTGCTGGCTGTGTTGGGCTGTGTGGGCAGATGCAGGGGCACGGGAAGCAGGAGGGTGCTGGGAGGAGAGCTGGGCCTCCCCTCTGGGCTCCAGCCCTCCCTGAAGAGGGAGCACCTATGCAGGTCTCAGGCGCCTCCTTCACACTCCTCCTGGAGAGGTGCCCGGCCCTGCTTCCCAGGTGGGGCTGAGCCGAGCCTCAGGATCCTGACAGCGGAGGCCGCCTTTCCTCTCCTCTTCTAACTGCAGAGAGCCTGGCAGGGTGTGGCCTGGTGTGGGTCCTGGAACCCAGAGCCATGAGGCAGGTCAGTGATCCAGGACAAGTGGAACAGGGAAACTGAGACAGACAGCCGAACAAACCAGAAGAGCAACCACAGCCGATCAGAAGTCACCTGGAGATAACATCAGCTTCAGCTGTATTTCAGCTCCAGGCCCAGAGAAGCAGCAAACCCAGGTGGGCGGCACCAGGACCACCTGCAATGACTAAGGACCTCCTGTCCTGGCTCTGGGAGACCAGGACCCTGAAAGAACACCCCTGGAAAACTGGGGAGTATTCTGCTGACCATCCCCCCCGGGACTCCCCTAAGATTCCCAAAGCAACCAGACAGATGTGGGTTCACCTCTCGCCTACTCCCTACCCAGCTGCCTGAGACAGTGAAGTCTGTTGTCAGAGAGCAGAGACATGGCTGACTGAAGCAGAAAGGGATATGTTGAGAGGAGCCTGGGCTGCCCCCAAGGTTGGGTAGGAAGGTTGGGGACCCAGGTTGGACCAGGGGCAGGGACAAAGAGCTACTCAGCAGGGCCAAGGCCATGGTCAGGCAGGAGGACGGCTGAGGACGCTGAGCAGCACAAATGTGCTGCTTTGCACACTGGGCATCTGGCCGGTGCTGCTCAGATTAAACATCCTACAAGAGCCTCTGATTGGCTCAGGAAGGACCATGAGCCTAAACTCAGCCGTCAGGGGGCTGGGAGAGTAGGCTTCTGGGTGTACAGCTTCAGAGTGGGGTGATGGTGCCAGCTCACATTGGCTGGGCACCAAATTAATTTCTTTAATCTCCAGCACCCGAAGGTGCTATTATCTCTACCACTTCAGAGAGGAGCAAACGGAGGCCCAAGGAGGTGAAGTAAATTGCCCGGAGTTACCCAACTGAGACATAGCTGGGCTGAAGCGGGAACCTGGGTCCCAACAACGCACTGCTCCTCAGCGTGTCTGTTTCCCACAGGCTCATATGGGGAGCAATTCTCTGAACCCCAAAGGGGTGCAAGTACTGGGTGGCAAATGCCGGACAAATGTGCGTTGTGCTGGATGCGTGACCTCCTGTGGCTTCCTGAGCTCCGAGTCAGCTGACTCCTGTGCACATGCTAATGATGCTGGCCCATGTGCTGTGACGCTCGGGAGAGGGACTGTGCACATGCCCAGCCTCAGAGCTGCTCTGCGCCTCCCCCTGTTTAACACCCACCAGAATCTCGTCACCTGTGAACCCCACAGCATCTAGCCCGACACCTTAAATGAAATAAACTGTCAATAAATGCCAGTAGCGCGGAAATCCAAATGATATCGAAAGTAAAGCCCAACTTTTAACCACTAGTGATTACTAAGGCATGGTTACTGACTCAATTCTATAATTTATTTGGTCTTATATATTTTATTTTTTGGAATAATGATTGCTGCATTTGAAAATAATCTGATGTACTCATTATAAGGATTTAAGAAAAAAGAAAGGTATAGAGAAGAAACTTAAAATATCATCCTTGGTTCAACCACCTAGAAGAAATCATGTAGGTTTGAAGGAGGTGATCACCTGATAGCCGTATATATAGGGTGTCCCCAAAAATGTATACACACACTCTGAATAATGATAAAGGCAGTGTTTATTAAAATATATTTCATTTTCAAAATGGAGCTATCAGGTGTTAAAATGTGTATACATTTTTGGGGACATCCTGTATATATTCTGTGTGTGTGTGTGTGTGTGTGTGCACCCATGTGGGACAGAGAGAACCCCTATAATGTAAGCCTTTCAGGGGGCCACACATACATCCTGGACATGAACAGGGTACTAAAATTCTACCATGCACTGAAACTCATTTGAATTTAGCAGAAGGAAAAGGAACTGGAGTGAACCTTTCCTCCCATCTGGACTTTCCTGTTTAGATAGGGATGGCTCTGTTTTCCAGTGGCAACTCCTTGGTATTGGTGGTGGCCCAGCAGTGTGCCCAGATTCCACAGCTCTGGAGTTGGGGGAGGGTGCTGGTGAGGTCAGGGTTGTGTGGCAGCCAGCCCAGTGCCCTAGGGACGTGCCTGCGGCATCTGCTGCCCGGGTCAGCAGGCAGCCAGGCCAGAGGCTCCAGCACTCTCCTCACTCAGACGGTTTGGCCTGGGTGCCCCTCTCTGCCGGCCTCACCCCCTCCACGACTTTGGACAGAGTCCTAAAGGCTTCTCACTTTTGGGCCCCTGGTGACTCCAGTAGGTTAGGGGTGCATGGCCCCTTATCTCACACGGGAGCCGCCAGCTACAGATGTCCGTTGAGCACACTAGACAAGTGACACATGAGCATGGGGATGTGCTGTAAGATTTTAAAGACTTTGTATAAAACATATCATTCATAATAATTTTTATATTGAGCATGTGTTGAAATGATACGACTATGAATATAGAGGGTTAAATAAGATATAATATTGCACCCACCCAGCAGCAAACTCCTCAGCACTGATTCGCCCGCTCAGTGTTTCACTAACTTACCGACTCTTCCCAGCACTGACAATGAGAAGCCCCGCAAACACCTGTCTTCACCCAGACAAGAGAGTAGCACCTTCTATACCCCGGGTTTCCAAACCGCGTCCCTGTGGGTACCAATGCTCCACAGAGGTGCTCAGGGACCCCTGAGCATGGGAGTGGATGGGATGCAGAGGGAGAGAAAACAAGATGTGGCTGGTAAGAGCTCAAAGGTGAAAATAAGTCTGGAAGCTGTCACCTTGCACCTCGCACAGAGCATGGGCGTGCAGTCAGTCAGCCCCCTAATGGAACTGTGCTCAGCCCAGCCCCCCGTGCCTCTCACCTGCATGGGCATGATCCTCAGGAATCTGGGCTGTCTTCAGGTGTGGGCCCCCAGACAGCACCTGCAGGTCAGCCCCAGCATCTCAGCCAGTGCCCCTTCAGAGGTCACCCTCGAATAACAGCTCTGCAGATGGCTCAGTTTGGCAGCCACATCAGGGGAGGCATAGTTATCCATGACCGGCTTCCGGCGGTCTGCAGCACAGGGGGCACCTTGGCGCGCAGGCCCGCTATGTCCTGGGCATGGAGAGGGCCTCGCTCGTGGGCACGGTGATGTCAGGCTCTCCTCCTGCCAGTCCCAGGTCTTGCCAGTGCTGGTGCTCAGGGCCATCGGCGTGGGCATGGAGGCATATAAGGGACTTCTGCCCACCTGGTAGATGCCCACAGAGAGGGCCCCTCCAGCCGTGGGCTCCCTGATGACGGTGGCCTGCCGCAGGTCCTGCATGGTGTGAGCAAAAGCCTTCGTTGCCGACCTGCTGGTGTGGCTCATCAGGATGTGCAGGTCCTTGTGGGGCTGTAGCGCTGACCAGTCACCTGGGGAAGGGCCGCACCTCTGTGACCCTCGAGGTGGCCCTGCCAAAGACAGAGTAGAGGTACTGGCGGGGCTCTGCCTCAGGAAAGTAGGAACAGAGCAGGGGCCCCTCCATGGAGTAGCTGCCAGGGTTGTAGCGCAGATCGATGACCAGCACGGCTGGTCGTGTCCACCAGCCTCTGCCACACCAGCAGCGTCAGCTGCGGCCCGATGCCTTCATGGTCTCCAGCTCAGCCATGGCTCAAAGCGCAAGTAGCCCAGCGGGCTGGCAGCACCTCGTCTTGAACAGGGCCCGATGAGGTAGGAGGGCTCCTGGGGGAGGAGCCGGCAGGAGAGGGGGCGCCTCCTCTGGTGCCAGCCCCTAAGGTTGTGCAGCACCAGAGCATGGTAGTCTCCAGACAGACACCTCTTACAGGTCAGCCGTGAGCTGGGAAGCCACGGACTCCAGGTCCATGGCTGTGCGGTAGGCCCTCTGGCCAGCTTGTTTCATAGCAGGTCTCCTATCTGCCCGACAGGCTGTGCATAGTGAGCCTCCAGCAGACACGCGTGCCCTTTACCAAGGCCCCAGGCCCCGGTGGAACGCCAGCACCTGTTGGGCCCTGCAGGGCCTCCTCGGCCAGCCCGCTGCCATCGGGGC